AATAAAACCAGGCATATTTCATCTGCTTTTGTACGTTATAATAAAAATTAAAAACTTACGAGCAATGGTGCTTTTACTATTATTAAAGGTGAAACTAGTCGACAATCACTTTAACTCTATCTTAATTAATTTTTGTTTAGCTGTTACATACTACACAAATCAGGTAATTTTATTGTATGTTTAATTAACTGTTATCAGATATCTATGATAATAATGGTTACCAGCCGTTGCCGGCAAAGTACTAATGCCGCGATCAACGAACCTCTTTCTTTGAACCCCAGAACAAAAGTGCCAATCGTTGGTCTACCTTTATTCAGAACTCCGCTAATATTTAATTATTGCTAAAGAGCTAGAGAGTAATTAAAACATCCTGGAAGCGGCACTTAACTAATATAAACAGACTCTTGAAGTGTTTTTTCAAACAAATATATCCGCATCAACCACAAAGGGTTATTAGCGGTGGACATACACAAACAGTAAGATACATATTGTTACATAAAAAAAATATTTTTTACAATCTGGTATATAGTTTAGTCATTTTAAGGTAACTTAATAAACACTGTAATTTTGACGTTACACTTTTTAAATTGTCATTAAGTCAACACGTGATTATTTCGTTCTGGTACACTGGACACTCGGCAATTATATGTTTTACTGACAACTGACTGTTGCACTTGGTACATATCGGAACAGCCTCCTGGTTGAAGATATGCTTGTGGGTAAGGAAGGTATGTCCTATTTAGAGTCAGTTGATGATTGAAGTTTGTTTAGTGTAATATTTTAAAATGCAAAAAGATAGAAACTATATCGATTTTGTATTATTGACAGATAAAAAATACAAGGCAATAGAAAAACAAACGCTTATATGGTATTCATTGATTACTGATACTGACACGGAGAAAGTATATGGTGGGCGCTCAATAAGAAAGGAGTTTCCGGTGAAGTGAGGCAGTAATAATTAGTTTCAGGACACGTGTGGCAGAGACTGATAAATTTCACGTGAAAGTAGGATTGTACCAGGGTTAGGTGCTTAGTCCTTATTTTTTCTCATTAGTGTTAGATCCGATAACAGCGAAACTACAGGGTACATTCCCTGGTGCCTAAAATATGCTAATGATATGAACGGTGAAATGATTATAAAAAGTAATGGTTTTGAGTACCTGGTATCGATATTACAGATAGACTAATGGCTAAATAGATAAAGATGCATGTAGTATAATAAGTGTGGAATCGATTAAGTATAAGGAAGCGAGTGGTGTGTTGTGTGACAGATATACAGTACCTGGTATCGATATTACAGATAGACTAATGACTAAATAGATGGAGATGCATGTAGTATAAAAAGTGTGGAATCGATTAAGTAGAAGGAAGCGAGTGGTGTGTTGTGTGACAGAAAGATTCCAATGAAACTGAAGCAAAAATTCTATAAAACTGTTTTAAGACCAGGTATCTTCTTCTTTTGCTAACTCTTTATATTAAATTCTGCTTCTTCATTGGCGGATTAGTACCTTTATGGAAGGTTGTCACTACATCTTTTGCGCGGTCGTCCGATACTTCTGCCGATTTGTGCCTTATCTCTTGCTATTTTGACGATACGGTCTCCCCCATTCGGCTTATTTGGTTATTCCATTCTATTTTCTATTTTGTGTCCATTTATTTATACACTGTATCAAATCAAATCAAAAAACGTAATTATTATTGTTTTATACAACACACATAACCTATTAATGTCATAATTAATAGGTTATGTGGGTTAATAGAACAGTAGATTCTTTAAGTCTAAAAAATTTAGGGACTGATTGTGTTCTGTTTCTATTGTAAATTCAATTTGACTATGGAGTGAATTAATATATGATAAGAATTGGTCAAGTTGCCTGTTGTTCCTGTAAACCATACCAGTACATCGTCCACGTCCGGTAACATTCCCGCATTAAAACTTTTGTTCTATTGGTGGAGAAACTTTTAACGAACCGTAGGGCATCATCTTTTAAGGTTGATCTACACTACACCCACAATTAATTTGTTTCTGAATAAAGTTTGCTTTTGAGTATTTTTATTATTATTATTATAATAGAATGTCATCGAGCTAAACCAGAGCTTATGTGGCCCAGATTACACAATATTTGTATGTACTAAACTAAATAATATATTATAAATTAATTTTTTTCACAAAGTAAAAATAAAAATAATTTTCAAAAGAATCGGTACTTACAAAAAGTTCTTGCAATAATAGAAAATTACAAATATACAAATATTACAAAGTGTACATAAGATTACAAAATTTATTCCAATGAAGAGAAATCATACAAAATATATCCTTATCATTTTAATAGTTTTCAAAACAAAAAATACAAAAAATATAGTTAACATAAAACTAGGTACAATATTCTGTTCGTTTTCATCAAACTTGTTTTTGAAACCAATTAAACTAGTAGCTTTTCATATTATTCATATTTAGTAGCATCTCAAGACTCGTGTTCTTATATCAATGTTCAGGTGCATATTACATAAAATCTTCCTGAGGCTATTGAAGACAGCTCTCGCCTTTTCTATACGACATTAATTTTCCTGTGAGTGGTCCCATTTCTTATTAAGGTTGCATCCAAGATATGTAATTTTGTCGACTATTTTCAAGGGTTCATTATTAGCTGTTAATTGGTCGTTTTTACTTCCTAAATTCTAGTCTTACAGTTTAATTTCATGTCGTATCTGTCACAACCTTCCACTATACGGTCTATTAATATAATGTTTGCAGATACTCCGCATTATCAGCAATCAAAACCGTATTGTCCGCATATCTTAAATTGTGTATGATTTCACCAATGATTTTTATACCTTCTCTTAAACCATCAATAGCTTCCCTGGACATCATTTCCGAGTAAGTATTGAACAACGTCGATGACAAAATGCAGCCCTGACGTACTCCCCGTTTTGTCGTACATTCTTGTGAGGTTTCGTTGTCTACTCGTACATTTGCCATTTGCTGTAAGTATAAATTTTTAATTATGGGTAAACCTTTGTCATTAATACTAGATTCTTTCAGTATCTGAAAAAAATTTTGATGTTGCACCTTGTCAAATGCTTTTTCAAAGTCTATAAAGCATACTTAGTCTTCGTAATTTACGTCTAGAGCTCTTTTACGTCTAGTAGACTCGCTAGGAGTTTGAGTTGGTTGTTTTCAAATAGTTTCAATATTTCAACTTGTATGTTATTAAGTCCAGGTGCTTTGTAGGTTTTTAGTCTTTTTATTGCATATATTATGTTACTTCACTGGGCGTTATTTCTAGTCCTGAGCATCCAGAAACACTGACTTCTGTCTCTTGCTTTTCCTTGAATAATTCTTCCATGTATTGCCTCCATCACTTAAGTATTCTCTCATTTTCGTAGAGCAGATTATTGTGCTCGTCTACTATTAAGTTATGATTTCGTGATCCTTTACCTCCCGTTAAGTTTTTGATCTTTTTATGTAGGTTAAAAGTGTCATGCTTCTGTTCTAGGGATTTTATTTCTATGCATTGATCTTGTAGCCATGATTTTTTTGCTTCTTTAATCTTTTTTTAACGATTTTGTTTATTTCTTTGTACCTTTCCTCATTCTTATTTCTGTGTTTTCTTCGTTCATTCATTAGCTCTAATATTTCTTGTCTCATCCACGGCTGTTTCTTAATATTGTTTTCTAGTTTAAGTTTATTATCTACCACTGAATTACAGATATTTTTGATTTTATTGCACACATCATCCACACTTATGTTTTCTTGATTAATATCTGATATTACCATGCTGTTTATTTTGTTGTTGATCTCCTCTTTGACTTCGTCTCTTGTGGTTTTATCTTTCAACTTTTGGATGTCCGGACATTTTTGTGCTTTTCTTTTATGAACTTTTTTCATGTGGAGTTTGAAACGTCCTAGTAAAAGATTATGGTTAGATGGAACATCTACTCCCGGATATGTTTTTGCGGATTTTACGGAATTGAAATTGTTTGTTGATGATGATGTAATGGGTTGTAATCATTTTTTATGGACAGGCAGCTGGAGATTTTTAGGTGTAGAGTCTCCGAAGTGGTAATTGGAAAAAGGTTTATTATTGCACTATCCGCTTTCTGGCAGAACTGAACATGAAATGGCGGTCTCCTCCGTCATTTTGCGTTCCTAGTCCAAAGTGTCCCACAGTATTGCCAACACCTCCTTTGCCTACTTTGGCGATAAAATCTCCTAACAGGATATTCACTTTTTGTGTTTTGGTATGTTTTAGGGATTATTTTAATTGTTCATAGAATATTTCTATTTCATGCTCTAAACTTTCTGAAGTAGGAGCATATGCTTGAATAATGTTCACGTTAACTGGTTTAGCATTAATTTTGAGTACTGCAACTCTATCTTATATTCCTATAAAACTGCTGCAGCCGAAACTGCTGTAGTGATATTAAATTATAATACATTTTGTGGAAATGTTAAAAACAAAAGTTTAAAACAGATTAGATTTGGTAAATTTATACACAGATATCCAGAGCCCCATACTTTCTTACTTTGCGATAGGAGCTTCGGATTACTCGAAAAGGAGTAATAGAAACGGTAAACGATGGTAATGGCAGAATAGGTTGCGTGAGAGAAAGCCACATACTGAAAATTTATAGTTATTCTAATTTCCCAAAATGGTTATTTTAGCAAGATTTTTAAAAAGTGTGTGTCAAATCAAAGTGAACAAAAATTTGGTATATTGTTTATCGTGTCATAGAATACACAGCAAAAGTCTCGTACACATCGTAAATTACGTTTACTAGACTTAAGAAAATATGAAATATATCTTAAAAATTGTAAAAAAATAAACAAATAAAGATTAGATATACGATTCCTTTTATAAACAGATAAGAGCTAAATTTTGCATGAAGAGACAAATATATATCTGTGCAAATCTCACCGGATAAGCATAAGTAACTCATTAATAATTTTAAATACGTTCTTTCTAAATATCAATATTAACCAGTATCTTTCTTTTTAGTTGAAATAACGTGCACACGATGCTAATTGCTGTGATATTTTCCATATTCGTTCAACTCGGCTCGTCCGAAATACACAGGGGTGGTATTTTGTACCCAAGAAATACAGAGACTCGTCAAGTGATCTCATTAGATGGACTTTGGAATTTCATAGTTCCGAATGTGACCAATCCTTTTGTCGGTTTTGAGAATCATTGGTACAGAAGGAGTCTTAAAGAGGTAAGAATCAATAAATTTTTTTATTTATTTGTCTAAACATGACTGAAATTGGGGAAGAAAAATCCTGCGAAAGATTTTAGTATCACTAAAAAGTAATGATTTAGTTAGTTGGGATAATGCTAAAAGCAGAATAATAATTGGGAACAAAAGTAAAACATTTAATTGAAAAAAAAAAACTAAAACAAGAAGACATTTATTTAGAATCCTTTATAAAAGGTATATATATAATTATATACCTTTTATAAAGGATTCTAAATAAATGTCTTCTAATGTCTTCTAATAAAATTATAATTAATAAGGAATTAAAACAAGAAGGTATTACACTCGTGAAGTGCCGACAGAAGTGAAAACTTTCTTAAATTGCGTTGAAATTATAATAGTCCAGTCTGGTTAAAAAAATGTCAAAAAATTTTTCGTAGATATCTGAAGCTTTTTGACGAATAGATGAAAAAGTACTCGTATTTTCACCTTGCGTTTTTTTTAAACAATAATTTATGGTCACAATTTGAGAGAATATCTTTATTTTCCCGTTTTATAAATTAAAATGAATATATAATTTACGGAGATAATTGCAAAAAAGCAGTTTTTGCACTAATTTATAAATTTGATTAATTTTTTTATTGACAAAATAAAATGTTATTAATACATTTGAACATCGAGAAATTACCGTCTTTTAAATTTGTGCGAAATTTTTCCCGATCGGTCAAATAGTTTAAAAGTTGTTTAATTTATCTATCCCTGTGGAAATTTCATGAAATTCTTTAAGACTTAAACCAGAGAACATCCGAACACAGAGAAGCGACACGAGGCCCGGAATTCGTGTTTCTTTTCTGTATACGCATGACAGAAAATAAGTTGCTTTACTGTCAAAAACATGTGCGTTTTCTTCAACTTTAGTCGCTTACGATAGTCCATAGGCATCTGTGGTAAACTCTCGAATATACAAGTGCATTTGACCATTTATCTAATTTACTTAGTAGTTAAAAGTTTATAGTTATAGTTTATAGTTATAGTTAAAATATATAAGTTAAATATATAAGTTTATAGTTATAGTTTATAGTTAAAAGTTTAATTTATAAGTATTTAAAATGTCTTCTGGTTATTGTTGTGCGTTTCGCGGATGTTCATCTGTGACAGGAAAAGGAATAAGTTTATTTAGATTTCCTAAGAATAATAACAGGTAATTACTATTGCTTTGTAATTATTATTAGTTATTACATAATAGTATTAATTTGACTTTAAGTAAGCCGACACCGACGTGTCCGCCCGAGCTCTCGTTAAGTGAAGCAATAAAAAAATTAATTTTGGTTTGCCAAGGGATAGTTCAGAATAAAAACCAGAGAACTACGAACACACATTAAATTTATTGTCTTTGAATTTTGAAGGCTCAGGTCAAAAAATCAACACAGATGTTGGCCTACTGGTGTGAAAGCGCTCGCAGACAACAATACGATTATAGTATTTTTCTTCTTCTTCAGATGCAAATCCACTAATGGATGTTAGCGATCACATTTTCCATTAATTCTCTATTTCTTGCAATATGTATCAGAGATTGTATGTCGTTAATCCCTGTCCATTGCCTTTTGTTTCGGAGCCAGGACATTTTCTTGCGTCCCATTCCTCTCCTGCCTTCAATTTTACCCTCGATTATAAGTTGGAGGAACTGGTATTTTTAATTTCGCATGATGTGACCTAGATACGCCGTTTTCCTTTTCTTGATGGTTTCGAAAAGTTGGCGTTCTTGGTTGGTTTATTCTTTATTGTAGTATTTTTAGGAAATAAAAATATATAGAGGGTTTTATACACGAGAATATTTTATTTAAACGAAACAAAGAAATTCCTAAAATGCTCAAACTAAAAATTGTTGAAAACATAATTAGATCAAAAATTGGGAAAATCTTAAAATTACAACAGAACAAGACTTCAAAATAAAAACATGATTGCAAATACACAAACTTACATTAACATAACTTCAAATATTTGCTGTCTTTTTCACCAAACAAACTTACATTAAATTATGAAAAAACTAAATGCTCATCTACTTTTTGCTATATACAAAAGTTGTCTGTCAATGTTTAATTCGTTAAATATAAATAACAAAGATCAAATATATGGATCGGAGTACACAACATATTTAGGGAATAAATATTTAAATGGAAATTACAAATAAAAAATATTAAAACTTTATTTATTGTATATCTCAATATTTAGTGACAATTTTGAGACTTAATTAGGAGAAAACTGTAAATTTATTAAGATGAGATATTGACAAAAGTTAAATACTTCATTACTTACAATACACTTAGAATATACTAATACTCTTATAGTTGTAAGTAATGAAGTATTATTTATAAATACAAAAAATTCTTTGTTTAAAATTTGTTCTGTTAAAAATTTGTAGTGCCAAAATGTGGATAGAAGCTTGCAGACGAGAAGATTTATTGTTAAAAATGAATATACTTTATAATAGTTATAGGATTTGTGAACTACATTTTGAAGATAATCTTATTGTCAAAAAAAAAAAAATAAAATAAAAGAAAAACATTGGTGCATGACGCAGTACCTTCCAAAATTTCAATATAATACGATAAACACAATTGGGAAATATTAAAATTACAACAGAACAAGATTTCAAAATAAAAACATGATTGCAAATAAACAAACTTACATTAACATAACTTCAAATATTTGCTGTCTTTTTCACCAAACAAACTTACATTAAATTATGAAAAAACTAAATACTCATCCACTTTTTGCTATATACAAAAGTTGTCTGTCAATGTTTAATTCGTTAAATATAAATAACAAAGATCAAATATATATGGATCGGAGTACACAACATATTTCACCATTACTTTGCGTTGTGCGATGTATTTGCAACCTTTTGTAAATCAAAAATAATTACACCATTTAGAATGTCAACAAAAGCCGGCCCTGCATGTAATTATTTTTCCAGTGCAATATTTCATATTTATTGAAAGTCAACATAAATGCTCAATTTTATTTAAGAATTTATATTGTGTAATATGCCCACTGACTATTAAAAAATAAGGTGCTTTCCTGTCATTTTCACTCGTTGGCGGCTTGCCCACGCAAGATCAAAGGAGTGTCGCTTCTCTGCGTTCGTAGGTCTCTGCTTAAACTATCTCAGAAGGTAAATGTATATTTTTGATGCGTTTTCATCAAAATTATTCACAAAATAAACGTTTGAAAAAGGGGTATGTTTTTTACTTAAACAATTTACTTATAAACAGTAATAATAATTTCTATATTTTTCAAGCTACAGACTTGTACGTGCAATAATTGGATAGCTGGTCAAAAACTCACATTAAAAAAAATTCTATGACCAATAGGAACGAAGTTAGGGACTAGTTTGACGAAATTTTGGAGCGTGGCAGTTGCTATTCATCCCACCTTTTTTACGCAACTAAGATATATAACTGGTTTTCTATTATATAGATGACCTTTCTCCCATTTACATGAATACATATAAAATGTAGGGATACGAGGACGGTGTTCTCTGTAATCCTTGGAGATATTTAGATCTAAAATCATAAATAAATGGGTTTACCGTCCTCGTAATGTGTCTTAAAAGCTTCAGATATCTGCGAAAAATTTTGCCGTGAAATCGATGATTTTTGCATAACCAGACTGGGCTATAAGTATTAAGTTAAGATAAATAAAATTAATAATTTTTCATGAATATTAATTAGATGTAAATTTTTATTATTTTAAATGTAATTATATAAAATTAATATCGGTCTTTTTACGTCGAAACCGTTGTGCTTTCATTTGCTATGTCACATATGAGGACTCGATCAGTTATTTATTTTGTACTCAGTCAGAGGCCTTTTTCAAATCAAAATCAGAATTTGTCTTATATAGTAAATCTGGTTCACAGATTTAACATAAGAGCAAAAGAATTTAATATGACAATCTGATCTCAGAAAACTAAAACAATAGTAAGTAATCAGCAAAGAACCAAATAGATGTAAAATACAAATTGATGGCATCAGTATTGAAGAAGTAGAAGAAGTAGTAATGGAAATAAAATGCCTTGGAATTTCGCTGCCCAGTTATGGGGATCTAGACAAAGAAGTGAGAGATCAAGTACAAAAAGCAAATAGACTGACAGGGTGCCTTACAGTATATAGCAAAACAGACACATTAACACAGATACGAAGTCAAGCATTTATAAAGTCAGTGTAATACCAATAATGACAGATGCCTCTATGTTCCAATTAAGTCATCAATATACAATTTGAAGCTAATAAGTGAATGGCAACAACATTTCCTAACGCTTTCCTTTGTTACTGTTTTTGACGTTGATGCTTGTGTGGCAGAGGACTTAAGAGAGAAAGGTTTAAATGAAGAAGACACAATGGACAGAAATGAGTGGCGAAGAAAAATAGGAACCACCTCCTCCTCATTCCTTAAGCCCTTGTCAGTGCGTGGTGACATTCTAAATATTATAGACGTTAGAAGAAAATGTAACGTACATTATATAAATAAACAGGCACGAAATAAAAAAAGAATGGAATAACTACATAAGCAGAATGAAGAGACCCGTGTTCTCAAAATAGCAAGAGATAAGTTACCAATCGGCAGAAGTATCAGACGACCGCGCAAAAGATGGAGTGACAACCTGCCATAGAGATATTAATCCGCCAATGAACAAGCAGAATTGCTTATAAGAGAATAAAGAAGAAGAATAAGGAATGTACTGTGTAGTGTTTTTTCGGTAGTCGCCTTGTTTGTTTTTTCTATCTTAATATATTCGGTCTAGTCTCTCCCTTCATTTGCTATGTTGCATGTGAGTTATCGATCAGTTATTTATTTTGTACTCAGCCAGAAGCCCTTTTTAAGTTAATAAATCAAAATTTGTCTTCAGTACCAAAAAAATTGTAAAAAATTGCATATTGTAAATCTATTTTCATCTCTAGTGCCCTAGGATATAGTTTCATATGATATCTTAATAAATCGTTATCCCCTCCCCTTTAATTTAACGCACCACACGCTCGAATTGGACCAATAATAACCCAGATATGATTTATTGCCCCTTTTGGCAATGCCATCATGCTTTTTTCCATCATTGTACTACTTATCCTCTTCTCTTTCCAACGAAACCTCACCAACGAAATACGTCACGATCCGTCGAGCCGCTTCTGAGCTGTGCGACCAATTTGCGGTGACGAACGCAAAAATATATCACGTATTCAATGCTTTTTTCCCATCCAAATAGTGCACAATGTCAAACTAAAGAAGTTTTTACTTAGAGACATAGAGAACAAAGAAATATCAATGAAAATAGCGTATTTGGGGCATGTGATGCGAGGACAAAAATACCACTTACTACAGCTGATACTTATGGGTAAATCGAAGGCCGAAGGTGAAATTGGAAAAAACCAACAGCCACGGCTAAGAAACACTCGAAAATAGATAGAAATAAGAAGTGCTGAACAGCTTTTCCGTATGGCACAAAATAAAACAATTTTTGCTATAGTGAATGCCAACGTCCGGCAGACCAGACAAGATAAGAAAATAAGAATAGTACAACCGAAATGATCAGTTGAAGGCCGAAAAAAGTAGAAAAAACTAATCAAAAACTCAGAAGTCCAGGTTTGTTACACCTAATTAATCATGTCATTTTATTATATTATGTTAATACATCTACTCTATCAACAGATAACCCAGTGACATTTTGATGTACTCTTCAGTAGGACTTAATTTCCTTTTCTATAAAAATCAAGCAATTTACTTTTTACCATTTAATTTTTAGGTTCTTAACTTTGATGTACAATTGATGCCAGTACCTGCTAGTTATAATGACATTACGACTGATTCGAGAATAAGAGACCACGTAGGATTAGTCTGGTATGACAGATTTTTCTTTGTTCCCAAAAGTTGGGAGCAAACGGAAAGAGTGTGGATAAGATTTGGATCCGTTTCCTATGCAGCCCAAGTAGTAAGTATATTCAATATTATTATATCATCATCATCATCATCATCATCATCAGCCTTCACGGGCCTTTCGTTCTTTCCCTCGCACAATAAAAACGTTTTGACGCGTCACAATGTTTAGAAATTTTACAAGTATATTGTTTGCTTTCTTTGCTATTTGTGGTTTATGTAGAGTAATTAACAGTAGTTCTTCAGTCGTCGCTACGATAGCAGTGTCCATCTGTTTAAGGATTTATTGTGCGCTAGATAAAATCCACGTTGAGAGTATTTTTTTGAGAGATGTATTTTCCAATTAAGTCATCGATATACAATGTAAAGCGAATTAGTGATAGGCAAAAAGATTTTCTAATCCCTTTGTTATTGTTTTTGGCGTTGTGCTTGTGTGGTAGAAGACTTAAAAGAGAAAGGTTTAAATGAAGAAGACACACTCGACAGAAATGAGTGGCGAAGAAAAATGAGGAAGAGCAACCCCTGAAAAGATGAGAAAGAAGAAGACTTATTTTTGGATAGTTTTGTTATTTATTATGTATTATTATTATTAATTACCATATATATGAACATTGACGGTAGAATATTAACAAATTTGAAATTCGCAGACGACATAGTTTTGTTCTCGGACAACCTCAAGGAGATATGTACAATGCTACATGAACTTTAGTTAGTGTATGCCAGTGTGGTTCTTAAACTAAACATCTCCAAAACAAAATTCATGAAAAACCTAGTCATCATCATCATCACTGGCTCGACAACCCTTTTTGGGTCTTGGCCTGTTCAAGGATTCTTCTCCATTCTGACCTTTCAGTTTCGTGCTTTGTTTTCCAGTTTTTAATTTTTAATGTTGTTATATCATTTTCTATTTGTTCTACGTATCTCAGCTTCGATCTTCCTCTTGTTCTTTTTCCTACTGGCACTTGTTTGATTATTTTGTTTGGTATTTCGCCTTCTTCCATTCTTTCCACATGTCCGATCCAACGTAGCCTTCCTATTTTAATGAATGTTATGATATCCGGATCCTGGTATATGTTGTATAGTTCAAAGTTATACCTTCTCCGCCAAATCCCGTTTTCTTTTGTGCCCTTATATATGTGTCGCAAGATTTTTCTTTCAAAGGTGGCTAATAACGTTTCCTCCCTTTTAGAGAGTGTCCAGGTTTCTAAACCGTATGTGAGTACCGGTCTTATTAAGGTTTTGTATATTTGGCATTTTGTTTTTCTGGAGACGTTATCTGATCTTAGTTGCCTAATTAAGCCATGGTAACATTTATTGGCAATAAATATTCTCCTCTTCACTTCCTCTGCAACGTTGTTATCAGACGTAACTAGGGATCCTAAGTATGTAAAGTTTTTTACCGCCTCAATGTTGTATTCTCCCATTGTTAAATTTGGCAGCTGCCTTATTTGTGCGTTTTTATTTGCAGGCATATATTTTGTTTTTGTCTGATTGATTTTAAGATCACTATTTTTTGCAGCTCGTTCTATTTGAGTGAATGCCTCTATCATTTCTCTTCTTGATCTTGCGATTATGTCAACCTAGTACCTAGCGGAAATATCAATATTGGAGACAACGAATTGCGATAAAAAGCGATATACCAATTTCTTTAAAACGTAAAACATTTGACCAATGTGTGTTGCCTGTGATGACCTATGGTGCCTAAACTTTGACATTGACAGCTACAAGTTCTAAAACGGTGCAAATAGCTCAGAGTAACATGGAAAGATTAAAGCTGAGTCTATCGCTTCGTGACCGAGTTAGAAATGAAGACTTAAGACGAAGAACAGGAGTTACCGATGTAATTTCCCGAATTGCCACACTGAAATGGAACTAGGCCGGACACGTCGCCCGAATCAGTGATGAAAGGTGGACGAAGAGATTGCTTGAGTGGAGGCCGAGGTTAGACAAAAGAAGTATAAGAAGACCCCCTACACGTTGGACTGACGATCTCAAGAATATGTCAAGAAATTTTATGAAAAGTGCTCAAGACAGAGCACAATGGACAAAAATGAGGGAGGCCTATGTCCAACAGTGGACGCTTGGTGATGATGGTGATGATATATATATATATATATATATATATATATATATATATATATATATATAATATATAAGATGGTGGTATTCTTGACTGTTGATTTAAATATAAGTTATGATTTTTGAGGATGCAGTCAGTTTATTTGGCCCAAACTCCTGACTGGATTAATTTATATTTTTTATAGACAATTAAATAAATTATAATAAAAACTATTGTTACTGGTTTTGCTTTCCACATAAAATAACTATGTTTTTATTCATATATGTCCATTAATCAAACCATGATAATGACATATATAGTGACAATATAGGTATTTTTAATAAAAAAAAAATTTTAATATATTTATAATGGTTTGTTTTGTAGAGTACAATATTAACAACTGTAATCTCACGACTAGTAAGTAAGACAATTAACAAGTTTAACTAGTTAATTTATATTTCTTTTTATAGATGTCTTGAAAAAGAATTAAATAAAATTCGAAAGCTTGACAGTAAGTCAAAGAGTTTTCTTTGTCTATCATATATATATATATATATATATATATATATATATATATATATATATATATATATATATATATATATGATAGTGTATCTCAAATAAGTCATGAAGGAATAGAAGGAAAATAATTCTTCTGGAGCGAGATTGATAAGACGAAAGGAGGCAAGCGGTGTATTGTGTAAGAAAAGAATTCACATCTGGACAAAACTCCTGGACAAAATTAAAGCACCACTCATATTTTTCTCAATAATCTTTTATTTATTGATCTTTACTGTACAAGTTGCCTATGGACCTTATTCGACAGTGACAGCTGTTATGTAAGCTAATAATAGTCTTGTTTTAACAATAATTTGTATTAAACTTCGTTTTAGACTAAAAGTGAGTTAAAATTTTCTTAAAAAGAGCCGATTAAAGCAAAGGGCTTGTGAGAAGGTTTTTATTTTGATATTTTTCATCACATGCATGTTTGGAATTTCATTTGAATAAAAATCGAATAAAAAATGATAAAAGTAAGCCTAAAAGCTGCAGATGGTCGTGATCGTGTCTGGGGAAAGCGAGGAGAAAGGTTTGCAAGCTATAACATTTGTCCTAACCTTTTGGTGATGGCTCTAAAGTGTTTTGGGAAAGAATTTGTTTTGAAGCTCGTACGGAGTTGGTCCCGATACGTACGAGGTCTATAAATGCCCATGATTACTTAGACAACATTATTGTCGAACATGTAATGCCTTTTGCTCCGTTTCTTGGACTTATTTTTTTATTCATGCAAGATAATGCTCGTCCTTATGTGGCTCGACAGGTTATTGGCTACCTGAATGATGTTGATAATCCATTATTAGAGTGGCTACCTAACAGTCCGGACATGAATCCCTTAGAGCATCTATGGGACTATCTGAAAAAAAAAAAGATTCGAAGTCCCCCTATTGCCAATCACAACCAACTCATTGAGGCCTTTATTGAAGAATGGGAGAATATTCCGCAAGCTTTTGTTGAACATTTGATATCAAGCATGCCTCGACGCATAAATGTAGTCATAAGAAGTAGAGGAGGGCCTACACGGTGTTACTGTTGACCCAGATGCATTTTATTGTGTTACTTTACTGATTTTTTTTTATTGAAATTTGCAGTTATGCTAGCTTATTTACGAATTTCCGACAAAAACAAATTTTTAAAGAAACAATAAGGCAAACTAAGGTCATGATAAAGTCATGTTGGACTTATTTGTAGGTGTTTATTATTATTTAAATGGAAGAGCATGGCTTAAAGGTTAAGTCACTTGAAATTAGCAGAAGAATACCCAGAACACCTAGTGGAAAAAGATTAGACAAGACAACGACAACATGCCTGTTAAGAAAACTAATATAGGTACGACCCAAGATAAAAGTTATTAAGAAATATAAGTAGGATAGCAAACTCAAATAGAATGATGATATTTTGTATTCTTAACAATTTACCTGGTAAGATTTGACCACAATTTCAAAAAATATTTATGGTCATCTGTTTAGAACTTTTTAATTCTCTCCATCACAAATATATTTTTAAATCTTTTTTTATTGCAGTGGATAAATGGCGAACTAGTAATGAGTCACGAAATAGGCCACTTGCCATTTGCTGCAGAAATTACAAGTTTTGTTAAATTTGGAAAGGAGAATTTGATTACAGTGGCATGCGATAATACGCTATTACCTGACACCATACCACAAGGAAAGGTTGAAGAATTAGTAAGGTAAATAATTTTGTAAATTTAACTATCTAGGTTTAAATAATCTAACTCTTTTAAGGCGAACATTCACTTATACCAGAAAATTATAGTATAAAAAGGGGGGCTAATTTCATGTTACTAGTTTAATTTTCGATAATATTTTAGATCCAAATTTAAGAAATATTCCCTCTAAGGGGAAATTCACTAATTTCACGTACCTGCAGTATCAAAGGTTGAGCTCTGAGAAGACCCTTTCAAAATGAAAAAAGATAGCTGCCAAACAAGTTTTGGTTATAATGACATCTTATTCAGATTAGATAAACTTTTTATAGACTTAATCCTAAATATATAAACATAATATTAGAGGTGTGCTTATTAGTTCTTTTAGACGAACTAGTTTAACAGAACTATTTCACAAAAATGAACTAGTTCAGTGAATTAGTTCGTGAAAGAACTATTTGTAGGATCGACATCGAAATCCAACTCTAACAGAACCGGTTGCCAGATGTCTCGTCTCAATCATCACACAAGCTCGGCGCTGGCCGCCCGTTTACTTCGGGTTTCAGTCAGTCTTTCACTAGTTCACTACCATACAAGTAGTTCGGAACTATTTCTTTCGATCGTATGTTTAGGTTTAAATGGTTTAAATTATTATATGATTAGTTAGTTTTTTTGCAAAAAATTATTAAGATTCGTTTTTTATTAACCGTTTTAAATATAAATATGGTTCAAGTATGATTTATTTTTATATTTACGTATATTTAAACTAACAGGTATTTCTTCTTCTTCAGATGCAAATCCACTAATGGATGTTAGCGATCACATTTTCCATTAACTCTCTATTTCTTGCAATATGTATTAGAGATTGTATGTCGTTAATCCCTGTCCATTGCCTTATGTTTCGGAGCCAGGACATTTTCTTGCGTCCCATTCCTCTCTTGCCTTCAATTTTACCCTCGATTATAAGTTGGAGGAACTGGTATTTTTCATTTCGCATGATGTGACCTAGATACGCCGTTTTCCTTTTCTTGATGGTTTCGAAAAGTTGGCGTTCTTGGTTTATTCTTTTAAGGACATCTATATTTGTGATTTTCGCTGTCCATGGTATTTTTAGGATACGGCGATAAAGCCACATTTCGAAAGCTTCCAATCTGTTTATATCCCTCGTTTTGAGTGTCCAGCCCTCTACGCCATATAGCAGCACTGACCATACGTAGCACTTAGTAAACCTTAGTCTCAGTTGAAGATCGAACTCAGAACAAGTCAGTACCTTCTTGAATTTTACGAATGCTTGTCTTACGAAACTTCCTGTTCTGTCTTACTTACTTCTTGTTTGACGAAACAGGTATTTATAATTAGGTTATTTCTAAAAGAACCTTTACAAAAAAAATCAGTGAATTTTCTAGGAACATTAAATAACACATTTTCATTCTCACTTTTACATAAAATTATATTTTATGTAAATGCCTCAATCATTTTAATCACAACTAAAATTTTTATTTCAAAATTACAATACAAGAAACAACACAGCATGGCAACATCCAAGCCAATACATGGGCATAAGATCCAAACCATTATGACATTAAGATAAGTCCTTATGGTATTGTCACATTCATAAGAATTATGAATCTGTTATCTGAGGCTAATCGGCATTTTTTTTAAACTAGTTAGTCCATCCATTCACAAAATAGTAAATATATGTTCTAATTCATTCATTCATTATTTTCTTCTTTAGAAGTCGAGACATAATTTATAATGCAAATCGTTCGCAGTTCTATTAAAATTAATGAACTAGTTCAATTAGTTCAGTTGAAAGAATCGTTCATTAGAACTATTTCGGTGGTGAACTACACATCCCTACATAATATATATATATATATATATATATATATATATATATATATATATATATATATATATATATATATATATATATATATATATATATATAATATTTAGCTCATAACCTATGTAACTTGTATATTTAAAACTATTTGGTTGCTTTTGTAGCATAATTTTTTTTTAAATTCATAAAAAGGATCACTAAAAGTCAAAGCACCATTGTCATTTTATTTAGCATGGTAACTAGGCCACATACAACAGATAAAGCTAAGTCTAGTTTTTAACATGGTTTATAAATAGTTGTTGGTTTGATTTTTTATCCTAACATCTGTTGATTTGGTCCGTTCTCTTGCATCCTGTTTAATATCATATCTCTTTTTGTTATCCCAGTATTATTGTTTTCATTGCTCTTTGGGTTACTTTCAATTTAATGTCAGATTTTTTAAGTCAATGTTAATGTTTTGATCATGGCCATGATGGCCATGATGCCTTAATATCTCTCGCAGGATCTGGTTTGGGTAGTCTTCTAACTCGTGAATTTTGTTCTTGCTTTTTCCTTTACCATGTCCAGTAACCTGATTTGTTTTAGGTCTTTGAATATGAATCATTCAGCGACGTATCTAGGCACGTTTGCATCTTCTCTAACGAAGTTGTTCTGTGCTGCTTGAATCTTCTTTTTGTTGCTGTGACTTGTGTGTCCCCATATGTAATGATTATGTGGTATGAATGTTAAAACTTGGTTCATTGTGACTCTTAGATATTTAGCTTCGTTTTGCCATTTAACAGGTCTGTCTTGCAATGTTAGCCGTTCTTTTGGGTTACCTGTCTCTATTTAAAGATAATAGCTTGGGACTTTTTTGGATTTGTTGCCATTTTCCATTGAATACTCCATTCTTCTATCGTGTCTAGTACCGTCGATATATTTCTTACAGCCATATCCAGGTTCCTATGTTTTGTCGCGATTACCGTGTCGTCTGCATAAAGGCTGATTAATGTTCAGGGTGTTCTTGGAACGTCCGTTGTGTATATGCTATACAAAAAAGGTGATAAGACTGCCACCTGGTACTCTAGCTTCCGGAAATCCATGCTAAGATAGAATTGGTTCTATATGGACCCTGAATCTGATCGCTTAAGTACGAGGAGATGTGTTTCGGCATAGCCCCGCTGTATCCATAATATCTCATTTTGTATGTCATTCCTTCATGCCACACTCTGTCGAAGGCTTAGCTTACATCCAGGAAAGCTACTCCTGTATATTGCTTGTCATTGTATTTGCCGCTATGTAAGTCTGACTACTTGTAGTTCGCTGGAATGTTGAGCTTTGAATCCGAATTGTGCTTCTGGGATTAACCCTAGCCTGTCTGTCTGTCTCTGATTGGAGTCTGGTTTGGATGACTCACTCTAGTATCTTACTGACTGCTAGAAGTAAGCTAATCGGCATGTAATTTTGTCGAAATATGTGGTTCTTTCCTGGCTTTGGTTTCATGATATCATGGGCTTCCTTCAATCGGTTTGGAAGAGCCTGTATCTTAGTATTTCGTTTATTATGTTTGTCAGATATACAATTGCTTGCAAAGGAAGATACTTCAGGGCTCTTTTAGTGATTTTGTGTGGACCGGATTCTTTCTTCCGGGAACTTTTTTTGATCAGTTCGCTCATTTATCTTGGTGATGTGGGATTTATTATTTTTTCTTGTTCTTCGGGCGTTTCTAGTTCTTTTTCTTCGACTTCTTCGATAAAGTATATGATATGGTTACAATTCAGTGTACATTCCCTTTCAAGAGTCTTTCTCTTTACCTTGGCTTTATCTTCTATTTAGTAGACGATTCGGTTTTCCCCGTGTAATGGGGAAATGGGTTTTTCATCCTTTCATAAAGTTCTTTGAAGCCTTCATAGTTCTGGAATATTTTGGCCTTGTTTCTCCATTTCTTTTACGTAATTGTCCTACTGTTGGCTTTTATATTCTATTAGTGCATATTTAACTTGTCAATTTAGTCGGTTTGCCCTATTTTTATCTTCCTGATTTATTGTTGCTCTGGCTTTTATTTGCTCTGTTCATTTCCCTTAGTAATTGGGGACAATTACCAAACAAATATTTATACTTAATTTATTTTTTACTAACTTGATTCTAAACACTAAACACTGAATACTCTAAACACAACTAAATCAACATAAACATCTTTAATTTTTAGCGGAAGACTGGATCAAACCTACACTTTTGACTTTTTCAACTATGCAGGTATCGATCGACCGGTCTTTTTATACACAACTCCCAAAACTTACATCGATGACATTTCCATAGCTACGGTAGATGTTAAAGAAAATATTGGTAAGTGATTTAAGTTAATAAATTATAGCCTAAAAATAATGTGAGGTTTACTTTTGTGGATACTACAATAAACGTCTTCTTCTTCCTCTACATAAGCAATTTTGATTGTTCATTAACGATATGATATCTTTCTATCGTTGTGCGATTGGCTGATAGTTCTATAATATGGAGATTTATCTGTTGTTATTTTTACCACTCTGGTATGTTACATTTTCTTCGTATGTCTTAACTCATCATTCGGACTGTTAGGAAGTACCTGTACACAAACCTGTACTGGTTGTTAGTATTCTTATCTCCGTATTATACCTCTCCGGTAACAGCGCTGGGAAAACTTCTCATACCAATTTCGGATATCCTAGGTCGGTCCTATTATTTGAAATGATGAAAGAACTGGACGTAGAAGCTGGAAAGATAGGCCTTAATATGAATTACAGCAAGACCAAAAACCATAACAAATACGGATGAAGACATCACAATGAGAATCGGACAAGATGAAGTAGAACAAGTTAAGAATTATATATATCTTGGTCAAACTATAAAACTTAACAAAGAGAACCAAACAGCAGAGATCAAGAGACGAGTTAGACTGGCATGGGCGGCATTTGGCAAACTAAGCTACATTCTTAAAAACAAAAGATATCCACAGCATCTTAAGACCAAAGTATATAATCAATGTGTACTCCCTGTTCTTACTTATGGTTCCCAAACGTGGACATCTACAAAAGCAAACATGGACAAAATCATAAAAACCTAAAGAGCAATGGAAAGACAAATGTTGCACATAAGACTAATGGATAGGAAGAGAAACGAGTGGATAAGAGAGAAAACAAAAGTGAGGGATGTTAGACAAGAAGTTGCAAAATTGAAATGGAGATTTGCCGGACACAATATAAGACAAAAAGAAAACCGATGGAACAAAAAAAAAAAGTTGGAGACCGTGGGAATATAAACGAAGCAGAGGAAGGCCCCAAATGAGATGGGCAGATGATATCAAGAAGCACGTGGGCTCTAGATGGATGACTGTAGCGACAGACAGAGAAGAATGGAAAAGGATTGGGGAGGCCTATGTCCAAAGATGGACCGAAGAAGGCTAATTAGATAGATAGAAAGAAAAAACATTTCATTTTTTAATACTGAGGTTTAATTTATTTTAAAAATATTTTTATTAGTTGGCCACAATAAAGTGTTGTTAAGTCTAGTTGTTTTTATGAAGAGAAAACACTGGATAACAGATGACACCAGTGGCGGCTCGTGACATCTGCTATAGGGTGTGCTGCATGAACCACGGTCAATATAAAATAATAGAAATAGAATAACATACGAAAACAAAAACAATAAAATTAGCTTTAATACTAATTAATAGTAACTAATAACGACATGCTATAAAAATCTGATTAACTTACATTTATTGCATTTTTCTAAATTGGAAATTAATACGCCGGTCCTTTTTTGTCGCAAACTTTTCGATTACTTTATCGTTAAAGTTCGGTATTGAAGCGATGAACTTTTTTTCTATCGAGAGTGTGGAAAGGGCTGTTAATCTGTCTTCGCACATTGAATTTCTTAAAAATGTTTTGATCCGTTTTAAAGTTGAAAAACTACGTTCAGCTTCTGCTGTGGTCATTGGCGTAGTCACCAGAATTTGTATCAACTTTTTGGTTTCTGTTAATGTGTCCTCTAAATTATTAGAAATTATAAATTTTAGTAAAGGCACTGCACCTTTTAATGTTCTACACTCGATATTGGAATACAAAACTGACAGTTCTGTTCGCAAACGGTTTTTATCAAAGAAGTTATAAGCTGTACATTATTAGATTCAATTGATGGGCGTAACAGTGCACAAAATGAGCAGTTTCATATTTTCTCTTAATTATTGTTTGCACTCCGCCATGTATCCCACTCATAACAGCTGCTCCGTCATAACTTTGTGCAATGAGCTTATTTTTGTTATTCTTTAATATTGGGTCTAAAACATTCAAAATTGTGTTAGCTAAGGTTTCAGCATCATGTTTTTCTGGAAGCAAAAAAGTCCAAAACCTTTCAACTGGAGCACCGTTTTTTACATAACGAAAAACAATGACCATTTGAAATTTCATAGAAACATCCGTTGTCTCATCAGCTATCACTGCTAAAAATGGGGCTTCATTGATTTCGTTTAAAATCTCCTCAGCGTATACTTCTAGCATGCAATCCAAAATATCATTTTGTATTGTTTTTGAGGTACCTTTGAAAATTGTCGCATTTGTAAGGTGTTCACTAAGTGTTTTATCAAGTTCAGCAGAAAAATTCACTAAACCACGAAAAATTCCAGGGTTATCTGATGTTTCAGATTCATCGTGTCCTCGTAAGGCGAGCTCAAAAGCCCACAGAATTTTATACAGTCAATTATTTTTGACAAAACATACCTGTTTTTCGTCACCTCTTCATTGTGTTTTTGTATATTTATCCAATAAGCAGAGTCAAGTTGGGCCTGTATATTAAGTTTCCCAAATAATGCAAATCGCATTTCATTGTTCATATGAGTTTGCGTGTTTTCATGCTTCTTTATTTTTTCACTTAAATGCACTAGATCCCGCACTCCTGTCTCGCGCCACAATTTTTCCTCTTTATCTGCGCCGAATAATGCACACGGAAAACAGAAAAAAGCATTTTTTTCGGAACATCCACAAATCCACTGATTTCGTAGATACATGTCTTTATTAAATTTACGCGTATATGTTTTTCCACGGCTTTTACCGGACACTTCAATATTAAGATCAGGCATAGGACGGCCACGTTCTTTTATAATCAACTGTTGTTGATAGTGAAGTTTTTGAAATTTATTTACACCTAATTTAAATTGAAACTCCATTGTTTTAAACACGCTCGAACAAAACAAATTAAACAAAATTGTAACCTAAGAATTTCTAAACACGGCACAGATGCAACGGTCACCGGTCACGAATAACTGTCGTGAATTGCAGCTCGCAAACACATTTCCGAGGCCGTTAATCAGCCGATTGCCGAAGCACATCGGCTAAGATCGCCGTTTGCCTAATAAATGCATTTTACCGCTGCCAGTGTTTCGGTTGTTATCGACGCGGCTTCACTGGAGCAGCAAATACGTAAAAAGATTGCTTCACTGGAGCACCAAATACGTAAAAAAATTATACGGTTTCACTAGAGGAGTAAATACGTAAAAAAAATAATATTAATCATCGTTGTTGGTGAATTATTATTAACAGTTTATGTTTAATATGATAATATGGCAGATTTGAAATAAAACTATATTAATTATTCTTTAATAATTAAGATTTGCTATGGTTGTTTGGTAGTTCTGCAGCTCAGCAGCACATAAAGAAAAGCCGCCACTGGATGACACATTTCAGATAATTTTCAGTACAAAACATTTTTGCCAAACTAGTGTGCACACAAAAAGAGATTAAACTAATTTGGGAAATCTCGACAAAGAAATAAAACAAGGATGCAAGGCTGACAAACAGCAATATTACAACGATATATGCAAGGAAATTGAGAAACACGATCAAAACAACCAGCCAAGGCCAATTACGATACATAACACGACTTTAAAGTTAGAACTGTCAGGCTGTCGAAGATCACACTGGAATTCTGAAAACAAATAGAGATAATATAGTAAAAACGTGGAGATCATAATAATATGTCAGGAAATAAATAAAAATGACCAACATCTGGAGAATATCCACCTTAACTTAAAAAAATAGAAGAAGAACCGGATATACTAAAAAGCGAAGTAAGACTGAAAATTAACAAACTTCAATTAAATAAGGCATCAGGCTCAGATAAGATGCAGCAGAAATGAAACAAATGAAATTGAAATAAAATTGCTTTACATCCTACGGTAATTACAATCAAATACGGTATTCTAAGGAATGGTCGATTTATTGGACTTACTCTATAATCAACAATACACAGATTTCTTAATTGCTACAAATTATCAATGAGAGGCTGAAAACTTTTCTTCAGAGAGAAATACCAGAAGACCAGGCTAGGTTTACCAAAGGTAGATGTAGATGAGTAGAGTATTTATTTAACTACATAACATATACAAATATTGTTTGTAGCAAGTCAAAAAAAACCATGGACGTATAAATAAAGATCATGGTCTTTATTTATACGTCCATGAAAAAAACATACATAGTATTAAATGATAAAACATTAAATAATATAAACATGAAAACATATTAAACAGATAAATAATACAAACATGAAAACATATTAAACAGATAAATAATACAAACATGAAAACATATTAAACAGAAAAATATTTATGGCAAAGTTACGGTAAGCAGTTCAGTGGATGTTCTGCAATGAGTCATATATTCTTCTGAGCAGTAAAAACAATGTTTTAAAAGATATTTTTTTATAACTTTATCGAAACTACTACAGCTAAGCTCTTTTATACTTTTTGGTAAAATATTGTAATAGTTATAATTAAGACTATTTTTTTCTGAAAGACTTAATCTATAGCGATTTGTTCGTAGGTAGTGACAGTTTCGCGTATTGTGAACATGGACATCAGACTGCTTTATTAAATGGGCACGTTTTCTGTGAATTTGAGTTAAAACTTGAAATATCAACAGAGTTGTATATATGTATACGAGAGCACCTTTTGAATATAAGACAAATAATCGAGAAGTCGAGAGAATTAAATATCCCGTTATACATCTAATTCATAGATTATCGTAATTTGTTCGACAAAGTGAAACGGCATTATTTATGTCTGATATTAAAAGAAGTGGGCATGGCAAAGCACCTGATTTCCCTTATTATTAACTGAGTTGTACGAGCATACTAGCATACTAGCATTATACTTGACATACTTTCAAATAAATTTCTTCTGAACAAAGTATCCGACAATAATGTATACTATCTATACAACTGTTATATCTACGGAGAAGATTTGATAAGAAGATCGCTTAAAGGATGGGAAATGAATGAATGGTCGAAAAATAAACAATCTACGCTTTGCCGACGATAAGCCCTCCTTGCCAACAATCAAGAAGACCTGATTGATCTCATGCGTTTGGTTGAAAATGAAAGTAAAAGGTTTAGTCTGAATTAAATATAACAAAGACCTTGACCTTATGTTGCTTTGTAATTAGGCAACAAAATAATCCTCCACATATAACAGCCAAGATAGTTATGGAAAATATCACCATAATATGGAAAGACACCAATATTTCAAAAACCCTAAAAATGAGTTTGGTCCATTAATAGTTCCAGTACTGACATATGGAAGCAAATTTTGAACAATCAGGCAATCATAAAGGAGGAAGGTAGAAGTCGCTAAACTGTTGTGCTTAAGAAGAATGTTGCGAATTCTGTGAACCGACCGTAGAACAAATAATTCTATTCTAAAATAACTAAAGATCTGTGAGAGAATCACAGGAAAAATTCAATAACATCAATTGAAATATTTTAACATGCCGTCAGACGTAAACGATATGGAGAGACTCATCAGTCAAAGAAAGATAGAAGGCCGAAGACCACGAGAAAGATCTCCCATGAGGTGAATTGATCAGATCACAGGAAGTTGCAAAAGACCTATGCATGATGATCTATGAAGACAGACCATACACGATATCACGACGGCCACTACACTCTCTTCTGTGAGTAATACTAAAGAGAAGACCAGTTTCTTATTTTATTTCTATTACGGCGCGTAAACCATGTTTAGGTCATGGTCATGGTCATTTGACCCGATCTTCGTTTAGTTGACTTGATCATCTTTGTGTAGTTGACTTGAACGCGACAGGACGATTAAATAATTTAAATCAGTTTTGCGGCTAAGTAAAATATCTTAAATTAGGGTACCATATTCTAGACAAAAAATTAAACGCCTTAAGAGGGACGTTTTCAAATTTTTACCCTTTATTAACTGTAAAATGTTTTGTAGCGTTACTGGAATACAATATTACGGTCGTTGGAGACAACAGTTTGTCATCTAAAATTTGTCGCGTGAGTCTTATAGACAAAACCCGTGCAGTTGCATTCTCCAGTCAAGATACTTGTGGATTTTATGGAGTTATGAAGATCGAGAATCCTAATCTATGGTGGCCTTATCTTATGCATGATGAACCTGGATATTTATACAGTTTTCAGGTTAGTATGTACGTATTTTTATGTATGTCTAATGTCAGTAAGTCAGATAACGGTTCCTTTCATCTTGAATGGTAACAAGAATTGTACAACATAATGGATTGGGAGGAATATATCATTATATATCATTTGACTAAATTCAAAGAACAAACAACCTTTAGTAACCGTCTGGCAAACATTTGTAACTTATTTATCTTGCGCAACTTTTTTTATAAAATTAATCTGTTTGATATAGATAAAAAATATTAGTGCCACTCTCCTCAGTTTTCGAATATATCCTAAATATCTCGTTCTCAAATAAATTATTTTTTCTTTACCTTTAAGAACATATTTTCAATAGTGCTCATCCCAAACGAAGTCTAATTCGTGCAAATTTTCCACAATTTGTTATGTTTGACAAAATTTTGTCACTATCAATGCGTGCTAAATGTTTTATCATAGTAGGTATCTAATTTTGAAAAAAGCATTCATGCACTTTTATTAGAATGGATTTTTTTTAAATATCGTCTCTTTATGTTTCTGTAACAGTTTTTTGCTCTTGTTTTTTCAAAAGTCTAAACTTTTCTTTAAACCTGGGACAAACAGAACAAATACTGAAATATGGCAAATATGGGGTTGCTCCCATACAGTCTTTGTAGACACACTGTCTCAAGACTAGCAACTTCAACGTGGAGTCATATGTCGCCATGTTACCTAATTTAACGGTAACTTTAATATCCTAAACCATTATAGGAAAATTTGTAAACTAAATGTAATTAATTATTTGTTAACGGGTTTTTACCCATGTATTTAGTGGCTACATTCATGTACTCTTAGACACAGTTGATGGAATATGGATTCTGAAAACGTTTTGTCTTTTTAACTTAGCCCGTTTGGGTCTAAATATATACCTTTTACAAAGGAATATAATAAATTTTTAATATATGGTACACAGCCAACTACAGGAACGTAGATTCCTTGTGGAGTTTATTGATAACATCGACAAAGACATAAGAAATATGGCAATACATGCTTGGTGAAGGAAATCGATGGATAGAAACGACCGGAGAGAAAGTATCGTATAGGCTGGGACCCACACACTGATCTAAAGCTAGAATGATGATGATGATCATACTTTTATTCTATACTCGTCATCTCCAACTCCGATCATTTTTTAACACTTAGAACTAAACTTTAAACACTACTACTTCAAACACTACTAAAGGTGTGTTCATGTACGGGAGCGTCATGTACATTTAACACTTCTTCTTTCAGTGTCGTGTCTCTATATTCAAGGGTAGGCTAGAGCCATGACAATATCATTAAACCTCTTTTGATCGCTTTCTGTAAGGACCAGCTGCTCTACACTTAGCCTAGTCCAACCTCTTTCGCAAATGATTGCTAAAAGTTTAAATTGGAATGTTTGTGTTTGTCACACACACATTCAAATTATCACTTTTATTATTAAAACCTTTTTTTTTATTTTAGGTAGATTTATTAGATAAGGATCTCAGTCCAGTAGACCAGTATTTTCTACCGGTAGGTATAAGAACGCTAACGTGGACAAACAGTTCCTTTTTGATAAATAACAAACCGTTGTATTTACATGGATTCGGAAGACACGAAGATTCAGATATTAGAGGTAAAGGTTTGGATCTTCCATTAGTGATCAAAGATCACAATTTGATAAAATGGATCGGCGCAAATGCCTACAGAACGTCACATTATCCTTACGCTGAGGAAATTATGGACATCGCCGATGAAATTGGAATAATGATTATTGATGAATGTCCAAGTGTTAACACAGAGTAAGTATCAGTGCGTGTTGCATATTATGGGTAGAACTATCTAATATTTTATAACTATTCACTATAACATATAACTATTTTATAAGTATCATCATTGTCAAAGTCTTGCACTCTGTGAAACTTATGGCTAATGCCAGGACCTTTTGAAAATTCTAATCTGACGTGAGGTGAATTATTCCTCTTTACTATTTTTAACTTGCTGTGTATCTGTGCTGTTCGTTACTCTTTTTCGTTTCTTCATGTCTTTACATTAAGCTTTGCATTAAGTCCTTGATTTTCATTGCCCTTGTATCTTCTCAGTCATCATAAGTTGCTCAGCACCTAGTCGTTTTTTCAGCATATCTCTATGTAGTCGTCTCAGTAGGTGCCCAATCCAGTTTAAGCGAAGAAACTTTGTATTTCTTATTTTATCAATTTTGGCGTGTTTTCATTTTTTTTTTCGTTCTTTTATTATATTTGGATTTAGTATTGTTCTTATTATTTTCCTTTCTATTTGCTGTTTGTGGGGGTCAAATAATGGTGTTTGTATTGTTGACAACCATATGGTATACCACTCGGAAAATGTTGACGGTCAACATATATATGGAGTTGGAGTAATCGTATCTCCTTAATTACGTCAATACGTTACAAATGTTATACCTGTTTCTGAAAGATTAGTAATAATCCAACTGAATACTACTTCGGCCAAATTAAATGTTTTACAAGTGTATGCCTTAACTAGCGATAAACCAGAAGAAGAGGTAGAGCAATTCTATGAGTTGTTGATAAATTCACTTACAAATTAAAAAAGTAGATATAACTATTAGTATGGGTGACTTGAATGCAAAAATTGGTAAAGATAAAAGCGGTGAATTAATCGGTGGTTTTGGTCTAGCGAAGAGAAATGAAAGGAAAAAAGGTTAAAACTATTTCAAGAGGAAGAAGAATTTGCAATACTAAATACGTTCTTCAAACTACCACCAAGACGTTTGTATACTTAGGTCTCTCCGCAAGATCAACCAGGAAATATAATAATAAATCAAATTGATTACATAATGGTACACAAGAGATTCCGTAATGGATGCCTATCACTTAAAACTCACCTCGGTGCTGACGTATCGTAAGATCATATTTCTGTTATTGTTAAATTAAGGTTTAGATTTAAAAAGATTACAAAAAAGAATAATAACAAAAACAAACATGGACGAGAAAAGAAAATTAAAGAACAACAAAAGAATGTACAAACATATTCAGAGACAAATAAGAACCGAAATACGAAAGGTTAAAGAAAATTAGTTAAAAACACAGTGTGAAGAGATAGAGTTGTTAAAACAAAGTCACGATACATTTAACATGTATAAAACGGTAAAACAAGATGGTGGTCTTCAAAAATACAACACAGCTAGCAAACTGCAAGATCAACAGGGGAACATCATCACAGATAAAAATCAAGAAATATGCATTTGGGCCAAATACATACAAAAACTCTTTGATGATAATAGGTCCGAACAACTTCCGTCCTACATATGTAATGACCACTTACCAATCACATCATATAAAGTGAAAAAGCAATATTACAACTAAAAGATGGCAAAGCTCCTGGATCGGACAATGCATAATACTGAACTTATAAAGATATTTAACACCGACGGTACTCAACGGCTAACAAAAATATTCAATGACATATTTAAACGAAGTAATGCCAAGATCATAGTCAACGTTTACTGCTCTACCAAAGAAAACAAAATCCGTATCCTGCATTGATTTCCGGACCACCAGCTTAATCCACAACTCTGGGCTCATAACCTTTAGGGATGCGTGATGGAAAAAGTCTTGCTTATAGATGGAATACTAAAACAATACGTTGACAAAAATAAACGTTTTATTTTAACATAAATTGTTGTTTAATTAATATCTTAATTCTACTTCTTGACGTTGACACTTGTTATTTGCAGGTAATGCCAACACTTAACATAAAAATGTACAATATAGAATTGTCATACCAACACCCTTCTGCAATTCTATATTAGTGTAACTACAAAACTATTACAACTCAATAACATTCAAAAGTTCCCTAAAATAGGTGAATTTAGTTTTTGACAATGATTTTGTAAAAATGTCAGCTTGTTGCTGATCAGACTGTACATACTGTAAAGTAATAAGTTCCTTTTCTAAACAATCTCTAATAAAATGATGTCCAACATAAATATGTTTGGTTCTTTTTGATTCCAATGTAGAAGCCATCTTAATACATGATTGGTTATCTTCATACACATGTACACTATACATGATTTTAAAGATCTCTTCCAACATCTGACTAAAGAACAAACTTTCTGTTACACATGAAGATAATGCCATATATTCGGCTTCTGCACTAGATAGTGACACTACATTTTGCTTCTTAGTTTTCCAACAAATAACATTATTATTAAACTTTATAACATAACCACTAATACTTTTTCTGTCGATTTGATTGTTTGCAAAATCTGCATCAACATAGAATACTATCTCTATTTCTTTATTTCTACCTTTAACAAAACTTAAGACATAATTTTCTGTATATTTTAAGTATCTCAAAACATTTTTAAAATTTTTCCAATGCTCTTCGGTGTAATTATTTTGAAATTGACTAAAATATGACATACAAAAACTTAAATCTGGCCTAGAGCCTAACATTACATACATCAGACAACCAATCAATTCTCTATAAGGTAACTTAACATTTCCTACCAAATTTTTATCTTTACAAATTGACAGATTAAGTTTAGGTTGCATTGGAATATCTGAAATTTTACAATCACTCATATTAAATCTGTGCAAAATTTTCTTAATTAATTCCTTTTGTGAAATATAAACTTCATTTCCAATTTTACTTATATGTAAACCTAAAAATACCAATTTTTCATCATCAAACTCTTTCAATTTAAATTTTTTCTTTAACTCAGTTTTTATAAAAATAATATTGTCTTCGACTTTTGAAAATATTATCAAATCATCAACATACACAAGTAAAAATGTAAAATCCTTAAAATACAAACAAGGATCCTTCCTAGATCGTTGAAAACCAAGATCAGTTATGCTTTCATGAAAAAGTGTATTCCAACATTTAGGAGCTTCTTTTAGACCATATAGTGATTTACTTAACTTACAAATTAAATTTTTGTCATATCTTTCAAGCCCTTCTGGTTGATACATATACACTGGTTCTTTCAACATTCCATAAAGGAAAGCAGACTTAATATCTAGCTGTTTTACAAAAAGATCATATTCTACATACAATGACAGTAACACTCTAATTGTAGCCATTCTTGCTACTGGTGCATACACATTTTCACTAAAATTACTCTGTTGGAAGCCTCGAGCTACCAATCTAGCTTTCTTAACTACCTTTCCGTTCACTTCTTTTTCACGAAAAACCCACTTGGAATCTATTACACTCACATTTTCTGGTTGTTTCACTAAAGTCCATGTCTTGTTTTCTTCCAAAGACTGAATTTCATCCTGGATTGCTTGTTTCCATTCCATGTCCTTGACTGCTTCAGAGAAGGTTTCAGGAACATCATCAAGAAATGTACCTACTGATAAAGCTGCTAGTAGATTCATCTCTGTATTATACTCACAATCATAGTCTTCAAGATATGTTGGTCTCTATTTATTTCGTGTACTTCTTCTATTTTCATTAATTATTTCAACTACTTCTTCTTCTTCGTCATGTACATTTTGTTCAGTGATTCTTTCAGGAATATTTTCTACTCCATTCTGAGTTTGAATTTGAGCAATTTGTTCATTCTCAGATAGTCTAATTGTATTATTTTCAATTGAATTTTCATCAAAAATTATATTCCGTGCATGGATTATTTTTCTTTCTTCCGGATTCCATAGTCTGTAGCCATTATCTGAATAACCCACCATAATCAGCTTTTCACTACGAGGATCAAGCTTAGATTTCCTATTCTCTTTAGGAATTAAATTATAAGCATTACAACCAAATAATCTTATCTTTTCCATATTTGGCTTTTCACCATACCAAATTTCAGCAGGTGTTTTGTTATCAGGTAAAGTTCGAGTTTCTGATCTATTAATTAAGTATGCTACTACTCTGACAGCTTCACCCCACATGCTTTTATCTAAATTTGAATCAAAAATTAAACATCTTGCTTTTTCCATAATGGTTCTGTTAAAACGTTCAGAAACACCATTCTGTTCTGGATTCCTTGGTACTGTATATTGAATTTTAATTCCATTATTTGAACATAATCTTTTAAAAGCTTTTGATGAGTATTCACCCCCATTATCACACCTTATCCTTTCAATTTTTACATTAAATTTAGCAGTAACCATATCAATATATTCTTTAAATTTATCTATTACTTCAGATTTTCTCTCAATTAAATAACATATACAAAAATGTGAATAATGGTCTATAAATGTAACAAAATAAGTTTTATTATGATGAGTTATTGGATCTATAGGGCCACAGACATCTGTTGATAGGTACAACTTCTAAAATTCTTTTTACTTTTCTTTCAGCATCAATGCTATGAAAAGGTAATCGTGATTGTTTTCCTTTGAAACATATTTCACATATACCAGATATGGGATACTTTACAGAGTGACCCATTTTCCTATGCATTAGCACATTATGTTCAACAGTTGTAATTTGTGCTTCTGGTAGATGTCTACATTTTAATTTAACAATATATAAGTTATTTCTTAACTCACCTGTTATCAAAGCATGATTTCCTTTCATTATGTTGACTTGTTTATCTTTGAACACAATTTGAAGACCTGCTTCTTCCATTTTCTTTACAGACATTAAATTATATGAAAGTTGATTACATACCCATACATTCTTCATCTCAATTTGGTTACCATTTACTGCTTGTAGATTCAAATCACCTTGTTTTATTGCCTCCAATGATTGGCCCTTCTTTGCTATATTTATATTATGCATTACTTCCTGGATATTATCTAAAAACCTTTCAACATCCTTTGTAACTAAGTGATTTGTAGCACCACTC